AGGATAAAATATGGGTAATAGTGACGACTCTTGAACAGCAACTGCTTGTGGCCGTCACTTTCGACGCTCTCTTCACCCTTTCTCCAATTACGACACTGGCACTAACTTTAATAAAAGCACACGTTATGCCACTCATAGTAGAAATTAGGTCGATATCCAATGCAACCTTTTGCGCTTGTCTTGAAATAGAGTTTGCAATGCACTATGATTATAATTATGTACTATGTATGTACAACGCTACTACAATATGATGCCAAGCGGATTGGACTTTCCTTGTCAAGCAAAGTCGATCTGGAGGCGTTCCGTGCTCTTGCTGCTGACCGAAGCGGTTGGGTGAGCATCTGTGCCCGAGTGGTGTCAGCAGCCTAGTTTTTGTCTTCTTTTCGCATATTTCTTCTTTTTCTGAAACAGTTGTGGTCTTTTGTATCTATTCGAAGTGGCTTATGCGAACATTTTTGGCTGGTTTGCATGATTTGCTTGCTTAATAATGCAGCTGCAGGCCATGCTGATGTCTACGCGAACAAGCACATAATAATACTAGTACTATGTATGTATTGCAGTGTGGTTTTACATTATGAAATAAAGGGCCGTTGATATGTTGGACTAATAGATTGGGGTTTACATGAATTATTTTATATGCATGTGTACTGCCAAACATTGTAGATTATCAGTGAGGATGACGTTTACATGCTACGCTATGGAGCAAGAGATAGAGGTCTGTATGAGCACCTGGGAGAGATGTACTTCATATCCAGCTCGCCTCTCACCGGCATAGCACTTGGCGGGGAACCAGGAGCACGAGGACACTTCCATTTCAGTTTGTTGGATGATACTGGCAAAGACAAGAAGTCTAAAGATGAATTCTACTTGGATGTTCCATTTGAGTTGCGACCTTGTTTTGGAGGCTTCCATGGGCCTGTTGTAGCGGTAAGGCATCGAACAGTAATAATGAAATAATAATTCAATATGTTTGGCTCCAAGTGCATCTTTTCGTGTGTGTGCGTGTTTGTGTGTGTGTATGTGCGTTTGTGTGTGTGTGTGTGTGTGTGTGTGTTGCGTGTGTGTGTTGCATGGTTGCGGGCGAGATTGCGTTCTATTTCCTTTCTGATCTTGACGTAGTGCACTAGCTATTGGGCAAATTATTCATTTGCTTTTCCGCATAAAAAGGGTTGGCCCCTGTGGCTCAGAGGACAGTGTCATCAGATCACACCCTGATGGAATTTCACAGATACTAAGCGTGAGATCAAAACCCATAACCACTTTGTTGTTTGGAATTATTATTTTGTGTGTGCAATTCCTACCGAGGGTAGCAACGTGCCAGCTGAGAGCTAATGAGGAGAGTCTTTTGTACAAATAAAATTAATATCAAAACATTGTTATTGTGTTTTCTTGAATTATTGTTATTGTGCACCAGGTAACCGGACAATACCAGCCACTGACTCCACTTACTAAAGTGTGCTACTGTATGAACTCTACGGCGATACAGAAGTGTAGCAAGGGTCGCTTTGTGCACATGAAACCAGGATATTGGGCCGGTAACGTCACAACCAATAGCCGTCGCGACTCAGGAAAGGAACCCCTTGATCTGAAATCTACTGCTCACGATTTGGTGTTTGAAACGGAGAGCAACATTTCAAATAACACGTTCAAAGGGACGCAGGCTTATGAATCATTCGTCAATTATCCGTTCGGTATTGCTCAGTGCACGAATGGCCTTTGCAAGAGTAGTGCGTGGCTCTACAATGGATCGGGAACGTCAGCATGTGTTGGTAATACCGCGGGTATCTTGTGTGGAGAATGCAGAGCCGGTACAAGACTGAAGCTAGCATTAGCGGTAAGAATAGTAGCATGGCCTACAGAATATTCAGGTGACAATGATGCGGTCAGTTTCAGCTCTCCGTCCGGTATGTTGCAAACAAAGCAGGCTTTGCCATTTCTTCGATATTTATTATAGGGGTGAAATTTGGCACTGAGATCCAGAGTTCGAGTACTCTGATTTTCTCCGATCAAATATTGGAGTATTTTGAGTATACTTCATCTACTAAAAATTGCACACCAAGGGCCTTAAAATTACATGAAACAACCTTGATTAAACCGCGTGACAGTCATTTTTCTCGGGTATTCACTATATTGGTTGGTGGGTCATTTGGGCTCTCTCTACTAGGCACGGCGGATTATGCTCGTGAAGTCATGGAATTATGCTTTCATGGATTCTCGCGTTATGCTCGTTAAATCCTCATAATGGTTTGGCATCCTGGGATATATATTCACTTTGTTGTACTTATGGAGCCTCAAAGTTCGGGAAATTGTGCCTTTTTCGTACTTGCAAGTTGCAAGTGGCCATAAGTACAACAAAACACATTTGTATCTCCCTTCCCAAGATACCCATGCATGTTAGAGATGAACATACAAAAGAGAAAACATGAATTCTTCTATTCATGGTGAAAAGGAAGACAAAATGTTACGAGTTATGACCAACTCTCCACCAACGTAACCAGATCTTATACAGTTAGCGAGTGCGACAAAATGGCACAAAACTGACAAGGAATACTGAGACATTCGGCAGCCTGACACCTAGCTCACCTTCCGAATTCTTCTATCCGTTACTTGATTTCTTTTGGACTTCAGTAAAAATATTATTTCATTGCCAAAGTAGTTTGAGTTACCTTTGAAAATTATCATGTTCAATTGTCTTCGTAACATCATACTCGTCCAACCGATGTCACCCTTACCGTGCGAATAATCAGCTCATCTCTCCCGTAGCTCCACCTCTCCTTCCATCACGACCGAACATCAACTATAATTATATTTATTTAGAGCCATAGCCATAGCCTGCAGTCATATCATGGCTGCTAAAATCCAGAGTTCATGACTTCGTAACATGCATACATGTAATGTACAAATGTAATGTACCTGTACATGTAAATGCACTGTAGTACACGGAGGTTTGCGGACTCCACGCCACTATCTGGTCCGCTCGGGATACCTGATGAAGGCTGATTCACTCGCATCTTCTTCTACATGTACTGTGTCAGTGTGAGAAAGAACTTTGAAGAAGACGAGTTCGAGCATACAATACTGTATTGCCATGATTTCTAACCTGCTTTTCATTGAAACACTATCTGCATGACCTCTGATCCCTTTACCATGCAGACCACCAGCACTGATCAGGTGCATTGTACACAATTGTATAGCCTACATACTAAAACTGTGGTACAATCGTGTAGTTATGCTCCTAGCTTCGAAAGATTGCCAAATTATGTTCCAAATTTTCAACCACAAAATTATGCCAATACTTATGCCGGCATAATCCGTCCGTGCCTAGTCTCTACTCGTGAACAAATGTTCACCACACAGTCTGCACATCAATATCTGATTGATTTGATTTTGATTGATTGATTTTTATTTCACGAATCCTCCAGAGGCAAATAGATGCCTATCGAAGGGAGTCTCCTATCTGCCCACTGCTGCTCTGAAACTGCAGATTTCTGTGGTAAATGCATGTGCACAGTATGAACGAGTACTCTGATTTTTTCCGAGTACGATCATGTTAGAAAAATCCGAGCGAGTACTCGAGTATTCGGTATAATTGTTTCAGCCCTAATATTTAAACTTTTTATTTGATAACCCTGAGCGACAAACACTTACAGTCCATTCAGAAAAAGACGGACTTCTAGCTTTTGGCCATAAATGGGTCAAACGTTGAGTTTTTTTAGAATTTTTTTCTGCAATCCCCTATGGAATCCTCTTCCAATTATGTTTCTAAAGTCTATTTCTCGAAAATGCAGGCCGTTACAAGAATAGAATTTCGGCCAGGTTTTGCCCCAAGAGCACTGAATTGTGAAAGACCATCAAAATCCAGGCCGTTTGATCCTGCCCGCAACGGTGCATTGTACGGTTCGAACCCCAGTTCAGGTACCCGTTTTGGACCCTTTTTCAAATTTCAAACTTCGCAGCACTGCACTGTGTACGATAAAATTCGCCAAATACGGGAGCTCGCCAGAGCCAGGGCCCACCTTTTTGTGAATGGACTGTAGCATGTTTTCGCAAGCCTTCATCTTGGACTTCTACAATCGTCGCGGAACCGATCCGGCCAAAAATGCATGTGCAGCATTAGCCGGGTTTTTTTTGGCGCCGATAGTACATGTACATGATTGATTTTACTTGTCTCTTATGTGTCGTTTTACAGCAATGCGTTGATTGCTCAATGACGTCATCTATCCCACTATGGGTATACGTCATTACCATGGTGGTAATGACAGTCCTGACATCCATCCTGCTCTTCTACTTCAATGTTGGCCTTTCACCAGTTCTGGATAGCTGGCTGTTCTTTGTGCAGGTAATATTGGTTATTATAAGTTTTTGAAGTACATATTTGCACATAATGAAAGGATATTTACATTATTGTTATTCTCAATTCATGGATGACATGGTGTCAACCAATATAATGAATGAGGGCTACCAGCAAAGGTATAAAAAGAACAAGAAGGCAAAATGTACACGCAAAATATGGCAAAGAACAAAATGAGAACAAAGGAAATAATATAGCAATCAAGGTAGGGTGACACTATACAATGACAGCACTGGAATATCGAGGTGCGATTTCTCACAAAAGTGTGCAGAAAACAAGGGTATACAAGTAAGAACTAAGCGTGACAAGTGTGTATCAGCAACAAAAACAAAAAAGGGAGAACGAATGATAATAATAACAATAATAAACAAGAAGGTGACAAAACACATTTAGGCACAAGTGGCAACAACGTTGCCACACTACACAACAGAACATTATTTGAACAATTTTAGGGTAATAGCACTATCTTTCTGGACACACAAGTTCGGCTTATGAATGCGCTGACAAACAGCTTCCAAAACTTGTAACTGCAAAAGATAACCATGACGAGCACGGCACAAAACAGAAAAACAAGAATCAGAATAAGTACGACAACAGTCAGTACTAGAAACCAAATGATTGTATACTGAAGACTTGTTATCACGAGACGGACGCACACAATCTCGACTCACGCGCACACCCTCACACTCACTCTCACCCTCACTCAGCTCACCTTCTCCCTCACCGTCCGAATCAGAACCTTCTCCGTCATCCCCCGCGGTTTGACTCTCCTCCTCACTTGCATCGTTCTGCGTCTCACCTTCACCACCCACGCCAACCCTAAATGACGTTGCCTTCACGTCAGTCGTCGTCCTGAAGGCTCCAGACAGCATGTTGTTCGATGAGGCAACTTCAAATCTCGTTCTAGGTTTCAAATAGTGAACCACAGGTGAAAGATTAAAGAATGCCAGTGGAATATGTTTTCGTATTCTGAAACACAGTACCAATCAGAAGGAAGGTCACATGATGACTAGAATAGATCGGAAGATCATGCATCAATAAAGTTATGAAGCAAGGTATCAGTGATGTGCTGCGTTCGGAAGGAACTCATAGTACATGTATGTTGAAACTAGAGCCTGCCATGATTTCTGCTTCTTTTGGTTTTATTCAGACGTCTTGGTATATCTTCCCGAACGAAGTTACATTCGTCTACAGCAGCATCTACACCGTGTTAACATTTGGACTCGGACATATGTGTCTCAAAGAGGACCTAAATCGACTTCAAGTCAGCACTCTACTCCTCATCCAACCAATCACACTTCTTCTCATCTTCTTGGCTATACGAATTGCACGATCGTACAACTACCTTGGAACTCGATTGGCAAGACTACAGAGCCACATGAAACTAGTGCGGGTCATGTGGTTTGTTCTGGTCTACAGCTACTTTATGCTCACCTTCACAGCTCTCAGTGTGTTCTGGTGTGTGCAAATCAACGACAGGCAGGTGCTTGCCATGGATGGTTCCGTAGACTGCTATGTGTCACCGCATCTAGGCTATGTCCTGGCAGCAGTCGCCATCCTGGCCATAGTTATCCTCCCACCGCCGTTGCTATTACTCATTCGACGAACACATGGTCATATCATGTTGAAGGGTTTCGTGGACGAGGCGTGCTGCATGTACACTGATGAGTGCCGCTGGTGGTCAGCTGTGAACCTGTTGAGGCGTATTGCCATTGGCCTGCTTGGATCACTACCGTTTTCGAGCGCGGTGACCAGACTGTTGGTGACATCTGGATTCCTTCTGCTGCTTCTAGTGGTGCATAGCACAGTTCGGTACGTATATTTCTTTCTTTTTTGATCCGTGTTACAAAGCTAATGTTGAACTGTCGTTGCTTGGGTGTCGAGTACACCATGGCTTAGTGGTAGGGAATCGCTGGTCATAAGCGAGGGTCCCTGGTTTGAGTCAAGGTTTTCTTCAGACCGTTCCCCATTTCCAACTTCCTCACAAACTAATGAATATTTTGCACAGCCTTCAACCATACGAATAATTATTATAGTGAAGAACGGTAGCGGTCATGAGATCCGACCAGATTACTCGACCATGGGTCTCTGTCTCATTGCTAGCTGGTTGCACCGACAGGAAAATATTAGGGCCAGAAGAAAAGGCCATGTGAAATTGAGGAAGAGGAGGGCAATAGCCAAGTTTGGTGAGTGGCCAATATTGTGTCTAGGCCAAATAGTGTAGTGAGGTGAAAATTGTAGAAGTTGACATATTGGCCTGGTCATAAGTGTCATAATTATTGTAAATCCACTCTTGAAACTTGATAATGCCATGATTAGTTAGTGGGGTTTTCTCAACCTGATACTGTACCCTCCGCGAGTGTGGAGGGGACGATCCTGCTTGATGGCCATTACGTGATCATGTAATGGCTGTGTTTGGGTTCACTCGCGACTGGCGATTGTCAATCCTTGTCGCAACCAAACAAGTGTCTGCGTGCAATTATGTAGACGTGCTAGACGATGGAACAGACGAAGTGAATTCTATCATCTTCCTGCTGCATGACTTTATTATTTCAGTTTGTGTGATCTTTCTGCTTCATTGTTCAGTCCTCTGCGGAAGGGTGATTTTGCGGGTGTCGGCTACAATATATGGGAGTCGTTCATGCTCTGCATTTCCATCGGTATCGCAGTACTCCAAATTGTCATGTACGCGTCGCAGATGACCGAAAACTATGTGCTATGGGTCAGTGGGGCACTCTTCCTTACGCCGACTGCGTTGGTGCTGACAGCACTCCTCCACAGACAATGTCTAGCCAAGGAGGGAGGCTACGGAAGATTCAGGATCCTCTCCGTTCGCCGCATCTGGCAGCATTGGCAGAGGGGACGTGGACGGGAGAGAAACGAATCACACCTGGACGAATCAGCTTTGGCTAACTTGATAGGCGACATCAGAGACCCACTCTTAGTTGATAACATCCGTGATCAACAAGAGGGTCGTCTCTAAATTATGTTGTGTGACCATGCACTTGACAGATCTTCAACAACACGAAAACGGTATGCGTTGTAAATAGGCCTGTAATGTTTCTCTTTTTAGTTAGTATTATCCACTTTTGCTATATTGGCGCTCACAACCCTAAATCCACGCAGCAGCACCATATACGTTCAAGCGCATCTTTATTTAGGTCTTGTTCATGCGTCACAATTAGACGCAAAGCAAGAAAAGCCTAGATACGCATTATTGGTACTAAGACACTAATTACTATGAAGAGAGGAATGGAGGAGTATCTGGTCTTCTGTACTAACATTGAATGACAACATGTTGCCATGTGGCTCTCCTCCATTTGGATGCATATTGCAACACACATTCTGTATTGGATTACTTCAAGCTTCAGGCAATCGCCTATTCGATATTTGTCCTGGTATCCGTAGTGGATCCTTTCTTTTCACGAAAAGATTAATTGAATACATTCATTGCTACGATCATGCATTATGTGCTTGCGCGGCTCTCCCGATCTTTATTACCACCTGGATGTGATTCGGAAGAACAATCTTCCATATTGGCGGTGTCAACAGAACGATAGGCATTTGGAATCTCACATTTTTTCTACTTTTGGTGTTTCAATGTTTTTTTTTCTTCTCATCTTACATGTAAATGTTCATACCAGCATTTTTTTCTCACACCCTCCTCCGTGTCGTCATTCTCAGGGCCTAGGCTCATTTCTTCGGTTGGGGGAACAGAGTCCCATGCCGTGTGAATCTTTGAATTGTACACCATATCCATGAACTATTATTTTTTCACTCCTTAGTTGCTCATGAACTAGACAGGTTCATTGATTTACACTCGAAATCTAAAATACTGTGGTGAGTGTTCTGCATGCCAGCATGAGTGACTGCAGGATAGCCGCTACGCTACCGTATGTTTACGCCACACTGGATCTTGGAGAACTGTACCGTCTGCATCATGTGATCTCCAACACGAGCTAGATATGCGTTCTTGTTCAGTATACTACAATGAGAAAACCAATCGTCTATTCAAAAACGGGGGGATCTACCATAACCTTCCCCATTGGCGTCTTAGACGCGGCATTGTGGAAACTTCATCTCAGAACCTCCACGCATGGGCCTTTTAATTATGTGATATATCCCCTGATGTACGTATCGTCTACGGCCGGTATGTTGGTGGTGGTAGTCAAGATAGCCGATTATTAGTAGGTCACAGTAGAGCCATTCTAAGATTGATGCAACAGTCAGACAAATAGTCGTGATCTAATTCTGTCAAGGCTCTCTGCAGGTTCAGAGGCAATCCCACTAGTTAAGTGCATTGACCTGTGATGACTCTTTAAATTAAAGGTAGCTAAACAGAATGGTCATCTTCAAATGAAGTGCCAGGGCAAGTGTGAAGGATTGATTCCTAATCTAGACATGGTGTATGTACAGCTTGACGTCGATGCAATAATGACTTAGAGTGGCCATTACGTTCCACAACATTTGTGGCCATGAAGCGAGAGAAAGTTGCATTCAGTGAGTTGTCAGGGTGTTTGTTAGCATCTCCAGCGCTTATATTTTCTGAGATAACCAAAGAAAAATTTCGACAGCAAAGCTAGCTGTCATGAGATACGTCTCTCTACCCCGTCCATCTCCCTCGTTCATTTGTCTTTCTCTCATTCTCCCTCTCTCCCTCTCTTTTTCAAGAAACATCCTCCCCTGACTTGACATATGGCTGTCGTGTGTGTTCACTGACAAGTCCGATATGAAAACACATGTACAGTAAAACCTGGTTTAAGCGAACACCCCACGGCGCAAGCAGAAGAGGTCGTTTAAGCCAGGTGATCTTTAGAACCAGGTCGCACAGTGTCTGTGTAGAACTGTCCGTGCATTTGAAGAACGGTCGGTAATATCAGGTGGTCGCTAAACCCAGAGGTTGCTTGCACCAGGTTTTACCGTGTAAACATAATTATATCACGAAAGATATTACACGTGCAAAGTGACATAATTATTATCGATAATTTGTGTGAAAAGAGTATCCATGTACTGTAAATAACAGGGGCTTTTGAACGTTTTGATGACCATTTTTGCTGCTTGCCATTTGCTCATGCGTCCACGAACTCAGCCCCAAGGTGATGGGGGTGCGCCTGCTTTACGGCTTTTTGACAGAGTAGGTGAGCGTGGAGGTAATTTCGGTGGATTCTGAGAGAGATACTCCGTAGCTGCAGAAGCAGGAACTGGAAGTTGCTGGGAGACTCTGCTTATATTACGCTGCGGTGAGGTGGTGACGCCAAGGGTCTGGTCAGCTCTCAGGCTGCCTTCCGTACGAGGCCTGAGAACCAGGTAGGGATCTGATTCGGTTGTGCTCTGCTGAGGACCAGGTAAAGACTTACGGCGCAAAGCCATAGCGTTTGGGCGTGCCGGTAGAGATCGTCTGCTGTGATCGATATGTGTTGGATGGTTATTAGCTCTCGTGGTGTGTAGCTGGTCGTACTCTTCCCAGGGTATCGGTGATTGACCACGACTATGCACTGGCGAAGGTGTCGGAAGAGATAGTCTCGCCGTTGTTTCAGCGCAAACTTTTATCTCCTCAACGGACTTCAGGTCCGCAGATTGTAGAATGTAAGTTTGGAGGGAACGTTGGAGTTTGCTCGGATCAGACTGCCTGGGTCTGCAAACTTTGACACCTCGACTGAGAGCTGTTGCCATCTTTATCCTCACTGGCGTGTAAGCATGAGAGGTGTTAGGTTCGTGGCACAGAGCAAGTAGCCATTCCACCGTCTTGGTACCTTTGAGACAGTACTTTCTTCCACTCACTCTGCTACCCTAGTTTGTGTGTATCTCCTGCAGTCGCACGGGGAACCTGAGTTTCTTGTTGCGTACGAGCTCTTCCAATGCAAGCACAGTGTAAGATGTGTGTTCGGCGCTTGCCATGAAACCACAGCGAGCAGAAAACCCTAGCTGGGTTGGACGCGACTCGGCCTTACGGAGAACACTCCACTGCATAGGTGCATCGCTTGTCGTGAAATAGCATCGCTCCCATGCAACGTATAGCTCTCCGGTTGAAGTCTTGCTTATACGAGTTCCAACTTGGAAAATATCACCCGCATACACAGAACAATCATCTCTGTTGGACATCCATCCATTTTGTGCCATTACGTACGCTGGTCTATGGGTCTCAGCCAAGGTCAGGATATCCTCAACGCCTCCGAATGTAACACCGTCGAAACGTGGTTCGGGTAAGAGAATTTTCTCAAAGCCGGTTGTGGCAAGCTCGATCTTAGTTGCCTCATCGTGAATCTCCAACATATCCTCCTTTTTCAAATCTAGGGCTATCAATTCGCATCCTTGTAAACCGAACTCGTTTCCATTTCGCTCCAGTCGATTACCCTTACAGTCAATTACCTGGACAAGGTCCGGGAAAGAAACAGCATGAACGTATTCATCCAAACTCGTCATATTCATTGGTGCTTAATTTCATGCCATGTCATGGCCAATCGCAACCCTCTTCTCACCCTAATGTGAGCGTCTATCGCTACTGACGAAGTGAGTGAGATCAAAAAAAGTCGGTTCTAGTTGAGCTAGTCGCGCCACACCGGGCCTCTTATCCTGACTGAACTTGAAGTCCTTTGAACTGCCAAGCCAGTAAATCATCCATCTGATAATGGTGAGAGGAAAAGAGTGTTTCACCGTGTTCATGTAATAGGTATACTCAACTCGAAGAAAAAGGCCAAAACAAAAATAGGCTTGTTTCCGGTCGGCAACCCCTCTAAAAGGAGACTCGGTCGGCCGGAATGAAACTTTTTTTGGATACTTTTTTTGGTTCCTCAATCGTTGTGGTATTGATGGACAAGAGCACCTACACATGTATAT